AAAAAAAAAAACCAAAAAAACATAATCCTTTAAAAAAAAAAGGTTAAACACCAATTTTAATATCCGATAAACATGGGTTCTGATCTTAACTCCACACTCATACCTGTGTGACTTCGGACAGAATTGTGATGATTAAATGAGATCATGCGCTTGGTATATGAAAATGCTAATTAAATGTTTCCTATCATCAGCTTAAGCTTCAACTTAACGTAGATCTCATGAAGTTGCAAAGCCTCAATTTTATCAATGCCACCCATTTCCTCTATCAGAAGACTCTACATCTCGTCTAACAGAAAAGGTGCTCAGTAAATGATGAATGAACATGTGCAGTGCCAATACACAAAGGTGTAGGGCCCGGCTATTTTTCTTCAGATTGCACCTGAACTAGGGGAGGTATAATGGTTTTATTAGGATTTTAGTTCGAAGACGAAAAGTAATGTATCCACATCCTTTTAATTTAAAAAGCTCTACCAGAAGAGCCTGGTTCATCCACGTTTTCCAACCAAGCATTGTCCCAGGGTGACTGTTCAGTGAGCAGGATTCATTTGGGGCTTCCAGACGTGGATGACATCTAAGGTTCTCACTCCTGTGGTAGTTCTGGGAAGAAATCTCCTCCTCCTCAGCCCTCACTGTGCCCGCTCCTGTCAGGTCACTCTACACTTTGGTTACAGATTTTCAGTTTTCTCTTTACAAGCACAAGGCTCTTTAAGCCGAGAAACTGATAGGTTGGTAACGCGTCCCTTGCACAGAAGGCCTATCAGTGCTGGAGAGACCGACCAACGGTGCTTCCAGAAGCAGCCTCTCACCCCAACAAGATTTATGGACTTTGGCCGGTGCCTCGCGCCGCTTACCAGTTGGCCGCGCTCCGCCAGCCGAGGGTCCTCGGGCCCGCGGGGGCCGGGGGCAGCCTGGGGAGGGCAAAGAGGGAGGCGCAGCGACCCAGCCCGGAGCGCCGAGGAGAAGCCCTCTCCGAGACGCGGGCCCCAGCTCGGCTGCGGGGCTGGGCGCCACCGGACTCACCTCACAAACCCCTCGCTAAGCGAGAGAGGGAAGCGGGCTGCTGCGTTGTTCCACCACGCACCTCTAGGTCGCCGCCAGGCGCCGCTCCGGCCTCCCCGCGCCTGCCGGACGACACCCCGCTGACTGGGAGCCGCAGGGAAGGCGGCGTGGGCCCCAGCAGGAAAGGCCAAATTCCGGTTAAGCACAGCCGGAGAGGGTCGCAGGGTATCAGAGTCCCGTAGGGCAGCCCGGAGGCCGGCTGGGGGATGGGAAGCCTGCCTGCGGCACACCGAATCTCCCGCCCTGCTCAGGGGGAGGAGTCCAGAAAAGCCAATAGAAAGCGGAGTCAGCCGAGAGCGACGTCGCTGCCCGCCAGTCGGTCTCGGGCTGTCGGCCCCGCCCATCAAGAAACCTGAGGAAAACGAATCCTTAAACCCTGAGTTCTGGGCCTTTCCTGTCCTCTTTCCGTTTCCGGGGAAGGGCGAAGGAAGTGTTGGTTACACCTGGGGAAATTTGCAGAGGTGTAGCGGGTGTGTGTTAAGGTAATCTTAAAAGTCTTAATTAGTTTCTCCAGACACCTTCTTTTGAGGAAAAAGATAATGGGAATGAATCTGCGTTTGTGTTTTGTTTTTTTATTTGTTTGACAGAGAGCACAAGCAGGGGGAGTGAAAGAGGGAGAAGCAGGCTCCCCGCTAAGCGGGGAGCCCCATGCGGGACTTGATCCCAGGACCCCGAGAGCGTGACCTGAGCCGAAGCAGACGCTTAACTAACTGAGCCACCCAGGCGCCCCTGTGTTTTGCTTTTTAAACTTTATTTCACCTATTTGGGGTGAAAGGTAGGATTCCATACATCTCAAAGGTTTGGAGTAGGGAGAAGGGAGACATTCATCTCTGGAAACAAGAGAATATGGAAATGGGATCAGACTGCTAAGGGGATGGAGAACTAAGATAGAATGAATAGAAGTACAAAGAGCTAATGAAGAAAAGGATTGAACCTACTAGGATACAGTATTACCCACTAACAGAATATTATTTCATTTGGATTCATTTATTCAAAACAACACTACAGAATCCCCTGCGTACCAGATGATAAACCACTGAGTGAGACAAACACGATCTCTGCTGTCACAGTAGATGGTATAGGGGAAGATATTGAACAGACAAGACTGAGAAAAATCCTATCATATGAGAAGTTCAGCATTTATTGGACCACGTGGCAGAAGTATCTAACTAAAGGACAGAAGTCAGGAACAATTTCCTTGGAGGAAGAGATGTTTTATTAAACTGAGAGTTGAGTAGATTTAAGCCAGGCAAAGAGGAAGGGTAAAATTTTCCAGGTAGAAAGCCCAAATCAATATAGCAGGTGCATAAAGGGCCAAGAGGCAAGTGCCAAAGTTGGGTCTGTTGTTTTGAGGGCTAGTTTGGCTCTTGGTGCACTAGTCAGAGTTGTACTAAAAGATCACTCTGGATAAAGGAGGTAAGAGTGGGAGTATAAGGAAGGAAGAGATGGAATCACCATTTTGGAAGATGTTTAGGAAATCCACTTGAGAAAGAGAAATGATGATAGCCTGGATACCTCAATATTCCATTTTGGTTGGCAGAATTTAAGAAAACAAAGGATAAAGGTAATTTTCTCTACACTGGAAATAAAGAATCTGGGGAAGGGTGAGTAGAAAAAAGAAGAGGAACGAACATAGTCAACAGTTAACAATGAAGTGCTTGAAAAGTTCTTAAAAATGTGAAGATCTAGGAATACTGAATATTTAATATATTATGTTTCTATGATGTAAACTCTTCCATCTCCTCTTCAGATCTACACAAAAGTCCATAGACTCGGAGGCCTTGGTTTGAGTGGTGGGTTTTGATTGTTTTTATGGTATATTTGTGGAAAATAGAGGGAAGGAGCTGGGGGGTCCCATTTCTCTTAGTCTTTTTCTTTCTTCTTTTTTTGAAGATTTATTTATTTGACAGAGAAAGAGAGAGAGAACAAGCAGGGGGAGCATCAGGCAGAGGGAGAGGGAGAAGCAGTCTCCCCACAGAGCAGGGCTCTATCCCAGGACTCCAAGATCATGACCTGAGCTGAAAGACAGACGCTTAAGCGACCGAGCCACCCAGGCGCCCCTCAGTCTTTTTCTTTGGATAGTTTAATTTATTCAGTTAACTTTGAGCACTTACCTGTATCAGGAACATAGTGCCCAGATATGTCCCTTACCGTTAAGGGACTTATCTTTTTTTTTTAAGATTTTATTTATTTATTTGACACACAGAGACAGCAAGTGCAGGAACACAAGCAGGGGGAGTGGGAGAGGGAGGAGCAGGCCTCCCGCGGAGCAGGGAGCCCGATGTGGGGCTCGATCCCAGGATCCTGGGATCATGACCTGAGCCAAAGGCAGACGCTTAACGACTGAGCCACCCAGGCGCCCCAGGAACTTAGATTCTTGTTGGGTAGAAAGAATCAGGTAATTTCATTACAATAAGGTTTAAGTGCAAGGATAGAATTTGCAGAGATCTACTAGGACAATGACCACTTAGTTCAGCTTAGCTAAGCAGAGGAAGGGCAGCAGAGGAAAAGCTTATCCAATTACAGATGATAGAGAATAGGGGTGGAAAAGGGATTTCAGGAAGAGAGTATGGTATTACAAACGGTGTGATAGTACAAAGCAGTTTGGTGTTCATTTAAACCTTAAGTAAAAGTTAAAAATGATAGGAGATGGAATGGGAGAAGTCTGAGGCTAAAGAACAGAATTTATCCTCTGTGATGGAACCATTGAATTGTAACCAGGGACTGATGGGTGTTTTATATTAATCACCAATGACGGTAAATTTGAGAGGGGCAGGGGTCTAGTTAGGAAGCTATCAAAGCAGTATGGATATGAAGATGAAGACAGGAGTTTGAACTGTAGTAATAAAACTGGAAAGGAAAGGATGAATTTGGAAAAAAAAAAAAAAGGCAAAGTCAGCAGGATTTGGTAACTGGATATAGAGGTAAGGAAGAAGGAAAATATAAGTCCCAGGTTTCTGGCAAGGTTGTCTGGGTATCAGCTCCCCAGTGTGCTGTGAAAGATTACAGATAGAGGGAAAGAGTTTAGCTTGAGGCATCTTGACTTTGAAATCTCTTTGAAAGAGAGACATCAAATTATCCTGCAAACAGTGGATATAAGAGTTTGCAATTCATTCAAGAGATCGATAGAGATCCAGGGGTCATCAGTGTAGAGATTAAATCCAAAGGGAAAAAAAAAAGAATTTGCCTTAGGATGATGAATAAAATAAGAAATGAAGTAAGGTACCTCATCTTCTGAGACAGGCAGCAAGTAGATGCGCATAGTTGTAGATATAGTTGTTCTTTGAAGTGGGAGAAAACAGGAAATTAAAACCTTCTAGCATTATGGCCTGCGTTTGATGAAGTAAGAGCTGAGGCTCCTGAGAAAGTGGTACTTAAAGTAATGAAGCTTTGGAACAGAAACTGAAGGGCATGAGAAAGCAAGCAGGCCAAGAAGTAGAAGGACCTCAAAGTGTTGGGGGCTTAAGGTTGGGGCTAGTGAAGTTGTATTGATGCCTATAGTGTTCAGTGAACTGAGTAAGGGAATAGAAAAGGTGGAGTATAGCATTGATATGGACAAGTCATACACACACACACTGGATTAATCTCTTATATTGGCATTTACTGTTTTATATATTTCTCTGGGGAAAAAATTCTTGAGTCAGTGGTTCTGGGTGGAAGAAGAAAGCTTAACTATGAATGCAAATGATTGTTACAGGATTAAAGAGAGTTTTCAGTGCTGAATGCACATGAAAATTAACTGGGGAGGTGATAAAACTACTACTGCTAGATCCCAATCCCAGAGAGCGTGAATGTGGCCTGTGAATGTGGTCATCAGCAATGTCCCAGATGATTTTAACGTGCAACTAGGGTTGAGAACCACCGAGCTAGGGAGAATGAAAATTTTTGTCAAACGTGAAATCACCTAGATGCTATGCATAAAACACATACTTGCTAAGGGTATGATAGGTCTAGAATGGCAGTGGCAAATACCTCAGCAAGTAATATCTACCCAGAGTTTTTAAGATACCAATTTGATTTCAATCCTGCTCAGGAGAAAGCGATTACTTCTATCCGAACGCTTAGGAATAAAAGAGAATACAGTAGTGAAATCCTATTTTATCTCCAGGATTTTCTCATACCAGAGATGATGAGGCCCTCATGAGGCACAAAGTAGGGGTGCCTGGGTGGCTCAGTCGTTGGGTGTCTGCCTTCTACTCAGGTCATGATCCCAGGGTCCTGGGATAGAGCCCTGCATCGGGCTATCTGCTCAGCGGGAAGCCTGCTTCTCCCTCTCCCACTCCCCCTGCTTGTGATCCCTCTCTCGCTCTCTGTCAAAATAAATAATTAAATCTTTAAAAAAAAAAAAAAAAGGCACAAATTAGTAATGAAAGATTTGGCAGATTCTCCTTAAAAAATATACACATAATAATTCAAACTCTCAGAAATGAGCCTTAGAATATAATTGTCAATACAGAAAGTTTTGCTGTGTACATAAAGCCATTATTTATAATAGTTGTTAGTAAATTTCTATAGATTTTTTTATTAGATTTTATTTGAGATAGAGAGAGAGCACAAGCTGGGGGGCAGAGGGAGAGGGAGAAGCAGGATCCCCACTGAGCAGGGAGCCCGACGTGGGGCTTGATCCCAGGACCCTGGGACCACAACCCGAGCCAAAGGCAGACGCTCAACCGACTGAGCCACCCAGGTGCCCCAAATTTCTATAGATTTCTTAAGATTCTGATTTTCTTTGAGGAAATGGGGATATTTCCTACTGAATATTGATTGGAGAGAATAAAAAATATTTTTGGGGGCGCCTGGGTGGCTCAGTTGGTTAAGCAACTGCCTTCAGCTCAGGTCATGATCCTGGAGTCCCGGGATCGAGTCCCGCATCAGGCTCCCTGCTCAGCGAGGAGCCTGCTTCTCCCTCTGACCCTCCCCCCTCTCATGTACTCTCTCTCATTCTCTCTCTCTCAAATAAATAAATAAATCTTTAAAAAAAAAAATTTTTTTTGAATTGCTTTTTAAATTATAGAATGATTCAGAACTTAAGCTTGTATTGGGTAGCATGACCTGGCCATAAAATAATTGTTTTCATTCCTAATGTGTATTAAAAAGGCATTGTTAGGGGCGCCTGGGTGGCTCAGTTGGTTAAGCAACTGCCTTCAGCTCAGGTCATGATCCTGGAGTCCCGGGATCGAGTCCCGCATCAGGCTCCCTGCTCAGCGGGGAGCCTGCTTCTCCCTCTCCCTCTGCCTCTCCCCTACTCATGCTCTCGCTCTCTCTCTGTATCTCTTTCTCAAATGAATAAATAAAATCTTTAAAAAAAAAAAAAAGCATTGTTAAAGTGCCAAAAGTGATTGGTCCTTCAAGAGTTATAGAAGTGAGCCCCACCCCCCCCTTTTTTTAAAGAATTTATTTATTTGACAGAGAGAGACACAGTGAGAGAAGGAACACAAGCAGGGGGAGTGGGAAAGGGAGAAGCAGGCTTCCCGCTGAGTAGGGAGCCCGATGCGGGGCTCGATCCCAGGACCCTGGGATCATGACCTGAGCCGAAGGCAGATGCTTAATGACTGAGCCACCCTGGCGCCCCAAGCCCCACCCCTTTATGATGTAACATTTGAAGAAAACTAGGGCTTTAACTTCAGACTATTATCCATCTTATTTGGATTAGGACCCAGGGCCAGATTTAGACCTTTAGAAACCCTAAACACAGACGACTGTATTTGTACCCTCTCCTGTGTTGTTCAAAACAATATTAAATCATAATTATAAGTTAGTCCAACAAAATTCTGATTTCCTCCCAAGCTACCTGGCAACATTTTTTGCAGGGGAGGGATGGGGGAAAGGGCCAGTAAAATATTTTTAAGTTTTCTGAGAGCTTTCTCTGCTTTATTATACTCTAAACCAGGTTTTCTCAACTTAGGTTCCTCATATAAACCACAGAAAGACTACGTTTTTCCTCTTAAGAATGGTACACAATTAAGGATAGTACACAACTGGAACCATACATGGAGATGTTAATTTAGAACTGTGCATTCCTAGGTTATTAGGGCTTATCTTCCATGGGTTTAATTTGCCTATTAGTAATCTAGCTGTACTGAGATCCAATCTCCCCTTCCTTCCCATCCCCTATACTTGGCCATGTGGGGATAGGACACGTTTACCAGTAGCTGAGAATAATCAATACTGTATGAAGCAGCATCTTATGATAGTTAAGTGCACAAGTCCATGAGCCTGAGTGTTTGGTTCAATCCCAGCTGTACCACTTACAGTAAGACAGTTAATAGCTCTGTGACCTTAGACAGATGAACCTTCCTTTTCTTATAAAAGGAGAATAATAGTACTTATCGGAGACTATTACTGAATTATTGCATCTCCTTTTAAGTGGTTAGAATGGTGCTTGGGATGTCCTAGAACCCAGTAAATGTTGTTATTCTTCAATTCAGATAAGAAGACTCTCTGGACCATAAATTGTGACCTTGACCACAGTTGTATATGTTAGCAGGACAGGGTCTCTACTATCTTAATATTCACTATTTTATTACAATACCTTAAAGTGGATTTTCCCTTTGTATTTGCCCTCTATTTTCTAAGGTTTTCAAAATGAGCAAATATTACATTTTTAATAAAAGGAAAAAATGGAAACTTCAAAAAAATTCAAACCGGTGAGTCTGATCCTAACTAATGCAGATCGAGAGTCAAGGCAAAAACAAATTAAGCCAGGCTTCATGAGTTGCCTTAAACCATTCTCTTCTGGAACTGCTAATCTTTATCAGCAATTTTGGATCAAGACATAATAAACAAGATATTTTAAAAATGCATGACTCTGAGAAACAAACTGAGGGTTCTAGGGGAGGGGGGTGGGGGGATGGGTTAGCCTGGTGATGGGTATTAAAGAGGGCACATATTGAATGGAGCACTGGGTGTTATACGCAAACAATGAATCATGGAACACTACATCAAAAACAAATGATGTAAGGTATGGTGATTAACAACATAATAAAATTTTTTAAAAATGCATTTTATATTGCTTGGAGATGAAATAAAAGGGAGAATAAAGCCTTGGTCCATAAAAAGGAATAATAGCTATGAGAGGGGGAAAAAAAGGTCTGAGACTTTTCTAGAAAGGACATGTAAAGAAAAGAAAAGAGTGCCTGGGGCTGAGGTCTTCATTCAACCCATATTCTAAGAGAAGGCTAAAGTATATCTTTAGAAAACACAATGTGGGAAAGACCAAAAAGTTTACTGACTAGAGAACTAACTAACTACTGGTAGGAGTACAGGAAACAGGCACTTTCATCCATTGCTGAAGAGTGTGTAAATGACAGTAGTAATGCTGGCTCCTCTTTATAAGGACCTTAGGAGAGAAAATTTTCTAACATTTCAGTTTTAGAAACAGTTGTGCTTCACCTGAGAAACTGATTTGTTTTATATTAAGGATTCTGAAGGTCATGTAATTTAATCTCTCTTTACATTTGGCTGTTTTAAAGTTCAGAGATAAATTTGTATCTCAACAGTAACATACAGAAACGTATGGCACATATTTTATGTATTAATTTCACTTCTGCCTTCATGTTATTTATTATTTTATGGTAGTATGTGTAATTTTATATATAGCTTTAATTAGTTCTATAAATTGCCTTAATAGGGTGTCCTATAAATAAAAAGTTCAGACATACATAAATAAAATGGCATGCTTTGAAAAAAAAATACAACGAAGGACCATTGTAAGGTATAAAATTTAGGTAAGATATAAAATTAACTCAGGGGAATCCGGTCAAAAGCCAAATAAAGCTGTATTTTTATACTGTACAAAAGAAAATTTACATTCTTAATGTAACTAGATACATCTAGGGGAAAATTACACATCTCTCAAGAAACACAATATTTAACATCTTAGATATGTTTCTGCATTGCAGACTGATAATGAATTTTATACATCTTTACTTACAATAAATTAAAATAGTTTTTCATCCCTGGCAGATATTTACAAGGTCAACAGTGACTACGTTTCACATTTCAACAATCAACAGCATTAACCAATTCAGTAAGACAGTTAAGATAATGGCTTACATGCACCAATAAATATGATCTTAAATGTGCGTTTTTTTTCTTCAGCTCTGAAAAAATCAAAGTTTTCACTAGTCCTAGGTTGAAAGGACATTAGTCAATAGGAATCATATTTTCTTCAGGCCTGTCCTATTTAAATTTTCACCAGCACGATTCTCTGAATACTTGGGAAATTTATACCAAGCTACAGGATGATGGTCTAAAAAAAGAGCTGATCTATACATTCCATATCCTTTTATGAAGCAAACATGTGAAAGTGGGCTATCTCCTGTTTACTTGTGACAGAGATCAGACTATATATTGCTATAACAAAAACCCTTCAGAAATTGTAACTAAGAAGAGCCAAATGATTATGAGAAAAATAGTGGGAAAATAATCTTTGCACCAAAAAAAAGATTTCTCTTAACCAGTTACAATGAATATAAAGTCAGCATAATTTTTAGAATGAGAATCAAAAAGATTCACTGTAAAGTAGTTGAACTTATTACAAATATTTATTCATTTTTTAATAGATTTTAAGTACACCCAACATGGGGTTCGAACTTACAACATACAAAAGTCGCATGCTCTAAGGACCGAGCCAGCCAGGCACCCCACAAATATTTTTAAACAACACATGGAGCATTGAGCTTATCTCTCAATTCAGTCTGGATGATAAAACTTAAAAAAAAAATCCAAAACTTACATTAGTAATTGTTAGCCAATCTTCTCTTTCCAAGATAGCTGATCAATACATTCATTACCTTTTAACTACCACCTGATATGAAAAAAAATACACAAAACCTGTTTGCAACATTAGTTAATATACATTTTGTGTTTTCCCAAAGAAATCGTTACTTAAAGTAAATCCATTATATTTTATTGGTCTATACATTTAAAAAATGAGTATTTTAGCTGTTTTCTGCAAAGAAAAAAAATACCCAGAGTAATCATGTACATAAATTATATTAACACATACCATTTTAGCCAGTATCATACTTACTGGAAATAACTGCAATTACTTAAAAGGTGCATTTCCATAACTCCCCCCTCAATTTTATTTTTTAAAAATCCATGATATCATACAATATACCAATTTTAGGAGTTTCCCCTCTTTTTTATTCAATACTGACGAGTAGAATCCTTAATTTGAGTTAAGGAGACATGAAAATGTGCCGTAAGGAATATTTGGCCTTCTTAACTGGTACTTTTGTTGGAGGTGTAAAATGTTGACATAAGAAAACCTCAAACGGAATCTTGTAGGAACTGTATACCTATGTTGCAGATCAAAGAATCTTATAGTATTTATTTCCCCCAGGGCTAGGAAGCAATCCTTTATGGTAAAGGGACCTCATTCCTTTGCAGTTAGGTACTTTAAAAATTCTATTTGGTTGAGACATTTTCTTTGGTAAATTTTATAATCAACAAAGTTGTAAAGAATTTCCTCTGACACAATTAACACTGAGCTGTTGACACTCAAATACAGCAAACCAGTTTGATATCAATTCTGTAGTTGGGGATGGATTGTCCAATTAAATTCATTTCTCTTTGAAAATAAAAGAATTTCCTTATTGAACCTACCTCCAGATACACAATTATAAAAAAAACCTCATATATACTGTAAGCTACACTTAATTCTATTTTTTTTGTAAAATCTTTAAGTCTAATAGCATAATAGCAGACATATGAATGTGCCTTAAATTGTAAACATTTTCTCAAGATCCAAAGTAAAACATAGAACCTACATTTCTGTACTATGCTGCCAGTTATTTCACATCATTCCCAGCTTTCTGCTAACTTCTGTTTGCTCTTGTGTATATTTCTCATGTGACTAGTGGTTAAGAAATACTGAAGCGAATGAAGTTTCCAAAAGTCTGTAGTTGTGTGTACAGGCTTAGAAGCAATGTGCCTATACGGGTAGGGGAAGGTTGGGTGATGAGGACTCCTCTAATTCTAATGGCAGGATCACCATACAAATTTCTGGCACTGCCAAAAATCTAATATAGTTTAAGTGCACATTGGTTGACATTATGAATATTACTATCCTATGTCTATTCAGTGCCAATATGATATACCCATTAGGTACACAATGCAGGTTAATACTAAAATCTATGCCTTATAGTATCAACATGACCACCCTGGAAATGGAAAATTGTACCAATCTGGGGACTCATGATTTTATTAGCACTGTTAACAATTTTACACTGCATTCCATCTTATAATCTGGCAAATATTCTAATTTTTGAGAGTTTAACTTACCAATTTCTAGTAGGTTTTCAAATAACTTGTTTCTAGAAAGCACTTTAAAAAAATTAAAGTATTACAAATAAGTGTCTCAACCAACTTAGTGGTTTGAAACATGACAATAATCATTCAACTTCAAAGATAAAAAGTTTCATATTCAGACTTTAATACAGCCATAGTATAGAAAAGTTGCTCTAAAATTCTTAGATTTTCTGACCACTGGTATGACCTACTAAACATTTTTAACCTGAAAAACAAATACATAACTGAAATACTGATTAAAACAAAAACTTACTTTGTAATCCAATATCAGAAATGGAGAGCTCCTCCTTGCCAGTGTTTATATAAATAGTATACTACTCCCTAACAACAAATACTAATTTTTTAAATTTACAAATGAACATGCAGAGAATTAAATGAGACAACTGATTGTCAACTAAAGTACTCAAAAATGGACCCATACAAACCTCACAAAGTGAGGTAGCAGAAACACCCCACTTCATTAAAATACTCACAAAAATAGTGCAAAAAAAAAATCTGAAAGAAGTTATTCTCAGTATTCCAGTGTCTAATAAATAGTTACAATTAATTTAAAGCTACTAAGTGGAATTTGAGAATATACATTGGAAATATTGAGCTTATATAGCTGAGACTACCGCATTTAAGACATTTTATACGGTATATACACTTTAAATGACATAATGGTCACCATTCCATTATGGAATCATAAGCTTCACACTATAAACCGTTATCAACCACATAAGGAAATATTGCTTGTTCTCTATCTATTCTAAAGCACAAGTAAGGTTCAATTTTTTTCAACATTAGAAATCAATGGAATAAAATTTATTTAATCTTTACTTTGCAAATACTCCATTGTGCAACACAATTAACTTGCTACCTAGGTGACTGTGAAAGCTGGCGGATTCAATTACTTTAAAATAGCTAGAAACACTGATCAAAGCCATTTCTTTGGGTTTATTTTTGCATTTAAATAAATCCCCAGAAATATAATCAACTACAAAATGGCAGCATACAACTGTTATGTGGCAGAAAATAGTAAGGCATAAATTAGAATAAGAAAAATGTATCTATCCTTACATCTGTGGTATAGATACCTACATTTCCAACACTTCCCCATCTATGTTTATTATTCTACATTTTTTCTGGATTAAGTACTTTTCTTAATGTGCTGTATTCACCAACTACTAGACCAGAACTGTAAAGAAACTGCAGAAATGGAGAGTGTTACGTACCACATTTACCATAGTATGAGTACAGGGAGGCAGTGGGGTGTTAATATGCATTTGACGGGAGACAGGAGTTATATTCTGGCTCTGCTTCTTAGTTATGTGACTTCGATCATGTCACAACCTTTTAAGCCTCAGTTTCCTGAGGATAGATATTTGGGGAGGGGGCACTGGGTGACTAGCTAGATTATTTATAGGGTCTCATCTAGCACAAAAATTCCGACTCTATAATAAACAGGCACAGAAGAGTAACTGGGAGAATAAGAGTGGTGGCAGGGGTCAGGATTTTAAATTATACACTTCTCCCTCCAGGTTCTCAAAATATTTTTATATTTAAAAATCTTACTTCTAAGTTAGCTTTTCACACTTTACATTTTAGGTTGATTTCTAGTAACATAATTTAAAATTAATATAATAGAGAAGAGTTACCAAAAGCTTCAGATATTTCTTTGTATTCCTTAATCCAACCTGGCATCAATCCAATTGATTTATTATAGAAAACAAGTATTTTCTCTGTAATGAGCTTTTCCATAGAGGGAAAGACCTTTTCTTATGAAAGGTAATAAGTATAAAACAACAGATTGTTAAAGAATAAAGTATGAATATTGCTGGTATATATTTGTAACAGCTGTTGTATATCTGAAAACTATTTTGAATTAAATGACAATAATGCAAATAAATATAAAAAAATCTCTTAGAAAATTTGACTTATGGTTTATTAAACTAAATTTTAATTATATCTTGCACAGGAAATCTGTTCTAAGACCCTGAATGCACAGTTTGAGCTAAATGAAATGTTTCTTCATTAAGGCCAAATCACATAACTTAAAAGAACAAAATGTCACAGGGTTATGAAACATTAATGGGTATGTATACATACAGAATATGTATGTATATACACACAGATAAATGAAATCCTCTAAGTTGAAAGTTTTCCAAAACCAACGTTTCAAGTTTAAGATTTTTAACAAAACAAAAGGGACATTTATTATATTTATTACAGCTTTTGCTGTAATTTGGTATTATTTGTTTTGGGGGGTTTTGTGTGTGTGTGTGTGCTTTAACTAAATCATGCTAGATTTAGATGCCAATAAACACACAACTTGTTGAATTCAAAACAACCTGCCAGCCTCCTAAATGAACCAGGCATTTCTGCCATAAAGTGAATGACCTCCAGCCATGGCCAAGATTTTATCCCTTGGAAAGAACAATGCTCTCTTCTTTTCCTACCTGAAACTTTGCTTTCCTTGGTATGTAATAGATATCTAGACCTCATTTATTTTGGCTGCTTTCAAACTCATTTATCTGACATCCCTTAAATTAAAAGGGATATCTAACATATGTCTTTGTGATATATACATATACACCACACACACACACACACACACACCTCAATACATTTCTATTTATAAACTTTTACTTTTATCCCAGACTTTGGCAATGTTGTAGTAGTAGTACTAGTTGTACTAGTTCAGGTTCTAGTTTTCCATTTTCTGTGAGCTGAAAAGTGTTAGAGACCACCAAATTCAAACAAGCATCTCATTGTTCTTATAAAGATTCTAAAGAAAATCCCCTCCAAAACAAAACAAATGCTCTTACAATAAAATAAGAGGAGGAGGGGGGAGGTTTTCAGATGTGGAAAAAAACAAGAGGCATTTTTCTGGTTACTTTATCAAAATCTATTGTGATTTTAATTATCATGATAGAGATAATATTTTAAACTTTGTTAATTAGGAGAATACTTGCTTTCTATAAATTCAGTATATTTTTCTTTCACAATAATAAAATAAAAATGTCTAAATGTACAAAGTACTAATATCTCTGATGTATTTTGTGGAAGGATAACGCATAGCAGTTCAAGTCACAATACATGATTTTCAAAAACTAGTATATTTTCTTTTTTTTCAATCAAGCATTAGAGCCTGAGACCCAAAAGAACTTATACTGAAATCTTACCCAACCAAATCAGAACTAAAAAAATTTTTTTTACTAATAATGCATTTTTGTAGCCTCTTAGCAGTTACCAAATGCTACTCACATACATTCAACATCTAGCTTACTGGCATGATTGCAAAGTTTTATAAAAATGAGAGACTTTTGCAGATATATGATTAGAAGGTACACAAATTGCATTACATTAAACACAAAGGCAGTGTGGTCCTTGTAGGAGAACTCAAGTCAGTACCCCCGGTAGAAATGTTCTATAAAAATGTGTCACGTTGAAGCATCAGTGTTTTCAGCCAATTATCTGTCCCTGATGTATTTCCTTGGAGTATATGATCTATCAGGACTTCAGGTTTCTTAATCCAAAATATCTGACTGAATTTAGGTACATCTAGAAAGCAGCTGAAAGGGTTTCTCCAATAGTCTAGCATCACAGAAAGTGGGTTGAGAAATCCCTCTCTTTACCTGAAGACGTACTTGTTCTACTTCAGTCATCATCAGCTCACAAAGGAAAAGAAAAAAACCTATCAAAACTTCCCCTCACACACACAGTCCCACACAAGCTAAACAAAAACCACCCCCTCCCCCCCCCACAAAACCCCAGCACCAAAGTGTCAATCATTCCTGGGAAATAGAACATGCCCCTTGGATTCTCTGATTTGTTAGTTGTTCAAACTTTAAGGACAGAAATGACCTATGTCCTTGTGGGGAGGAGGGAAGACATGTTAATAATGACTGTAGAGCCATCGAGAAAGTGCATTATCAATTACACAAACAACTTTGAGCCCTGCCCTCCAAAGGAGGGGGCCAGAACTTGATTTAAATGCCTCAGTAACTGAACATTTGTGTCCTCGAAATAAAGGAGATGGGGGGAAAAAGAACCACGCACATTTTAATGGAAAAGTGCAGCAGTCCACCACCTTCCCCCATGCTTCTCAAGAAAATGATTGCACAGACTCAGAGAAGTCCAAAGTCATAGCAGAATCTCTGAGGCACTCCTGGTTAAAAGAGAAAAAAATATGATCCAGTAATCTCCATAGTTCTATAGATTATGAGAACAAACCCGTTTTTTTTTTTTAAACAAAAACCAAAGAATCATTTCATAGGGATCATATACACCATTTCCTCTAACATATCCTCAGTCTCACAGTGTTGAAATGGGACCGATCAGCCTACGATGGATTGCACATCACCCAAGGAGAAAGGAAGGCATGGAAAATGCATACATTTTATACTGCTTCACAAACACATTTACAAGGAATAAGGTGAAGAGAAGATCTAGGAAGGAGGAAAAAGAAAACCTTATTGCTGTTTCCATACAAAATACAGTATGAAGATACCTAAACTAAATCAAATCTGATTACGATGACCAATATTTTCACAATGTGGGATGAAGTGTCTTCTTATACAATGAAATGTTCAGTTTAAAGGGTAAGCAGAAAGATGAGAGAGGATGTCAGAACTACACCTGGGATATTAGCTGCATATTGAAACTTGGGGATCGAGACTGCTTGGTTAAGGGAGCTCCTGGGCTGAGGAGCTCTTTACCTTCTCCAGCTTGACCTAGCCGGTCTTCCTGTAGACTGATAGTTGAGTAACGATTAACATTGTTAGCTGCTAAATTAGTAACTCCCTCAGTGCCAACCCCAATGCTGGTACTTGCTTGACTGCCATTTACATAGTCAAATGATTTGCTTGAGGAAGCACTGGCTGTCCGGATTAGACTTATACTATTGGTTTTTGGCACCACCTGGCCAGCAGGCAGGCTCAGGTGTTTCTTCATCGGTGTCAGCTCAATTGAATCTACACTAAGATCAGTTGGTTGCTGTACATACTGCCTGCGAATGACTGAATCTCGAGGGCTCTCAATGGATTTGATGACAGAGGCTGTTTCTTTATCCTTAGCTGAACGCCCAGTTGCTACTTTCCTTAAGCTTCCCCTCTGAGAAGAGGAGGATGGTTTGGTCCCAATTGGCTGACTGCTGAGGGAAGCCCCTGATGAAAATCCTTCATCTGCATCATTTAGGTTTACCGACTCTTCTCCATTTACACCCTCAGCACCTAAAAAACAAATCAGACAGACTCAGCAATAGCTAAATTAAAAAAGAAGGAACTGTGAATAAAAACTCAACTGACCTTATCTCTTGGGTAATGTTTGCTGCAGTTTGGCAATGGCCCTGTTGTCAACGCTTCCCCTAAATAATTTAGGGGAAGAAAGCTTAATCTACACAGAATTCTAATATGTTATTCACTGTGTTTGTTCAGCTTTCATTAGTCCAGCTTTTGTAAGACTATCCACAAACAAACTTAGTATCTCAATTATTTAGGCATATAAAACAACTTTAGGTGAAATACATTTCATTACAAATCTTTATAATATACCCTTGTCTATTTGAGGTGATAGTATCTGTTTAAAAAAAAAAATCAAAAATTTTTCCTCATATCTTCCTTAGCCCACCATAAAACAGACTGTACAAAAGAGACTCCCTTCTGGTTGCAGTCACCCAGAATAATGCCAAACTCATTATCCCTACAAGCCAAACCCTTTTTAAGGGCAGTACAATTTTACATTTACTCAACAGCTACGTGCCTCTACATGGCTTTAAAACGTTTAACACGGAATTACTATATTTTCTAACTCAAAAAACTGTACATCGTTTCCAGTAATTTCATACTTATATTTTGTCTTATGGGGATATCTACTACCTGGTTTCCATATTTTCTCGACCAATTAATGTGAAGAAAATATTTGATTATCAGAAAGTAACTAGTAGGGATAATTAAGTAGGATTTTTACTCTCTATATTATGTAGCTGTAATACTTTAGATTTTTCGTCTTGAGATGTATTATTGTCATAATCACAAAATACTATGATGTCCCATTACGTTTTATGCAGAAACTGCAGTTAATGAGATAATCCTTATCTTAGGATTTTTGTTAGAAGGGGAGAAGCTTATCTAATATATTCAATTTGGGTTTTCCAAAAAGCCTAATTCTCTTACTGAAAGTATGATCAACACTCTCTTGGAAAGTAATACATTTGCTTCTTTTGAAAGGGATAGCAGTTTGCTACATTATTATGTATGTTTGCCAGACTGCAAGAAAGTTTAATCTGAATCTACATACAGATATCAATATTACAGTTAAGGTAAAATATTAGGAAAGAATTCTAAACAAATACTACTTTGAGATACAGGTTATCTAAGTAAAATATACATAAAATATTTAAACACAATATTTAACATAGTATTTGGAAAAATAAAAAATATTTTCTTAGATATATTTTCTTATACGGATTAGCTATTTCCTTGCTTCAAAAGAAGAATGAAATAGGCTATCTTTAAAGCAAAATGCATGTTATTATATCCAGCAGTTTAAAAATCTTCAATCATCATGCAAAGCCATATGAAAATGCAGCTGACACCACTTCTCTCAACCCCTTCTTCAAAATAGTATATAATGTAACTCAAAATGAAACTTTAAATTATATTCATATGGTATCATCTTAGCAATTTACTTACAGTTACTATAAAGAACTCCAAAATGCCCAAGAAAAGATATTTACTGGTTCACAATTGGTATCAGTAATAGAAAACTGGAGTGAATAGAAATGTATCATCAGATATAGATCTATATATACTGAGGAAAGGAGACTGAGAGACTTAGTGCTAGTGTCTAAATCTTGCCTCATGCAGGTCTGATGCCCAAGCAATATGGCCATAAAAGAGATGATAACATAAAAGCCACCATGCAAGAGAATCTGCTGATATTTTATACACTAAGAAATGCTGTTTCAATACAGTGGGACACTGACTATACTTTAATCACAGGCAATGTCCTCAGTTTAGCAATAATTTTAAATCCAACTTTAAAAGTCACAAATAAAACGTTACTTGACCATCAGGATAAGGGTAGGTGATGCGCTTATATTCTCCCTTCAATTTCAACATAAAACAAATATAATTTTAACTGTAAACTGATTTAAAACCATCATACTAGAAAATTCTTTTAAAAGGCCACATATTAATGTCAATACAAAAGCTCCAGCCGACTTTAGAATTACTAAAACTTTTCATGGGTTTTAGTAATTTCCTTCCTTCTATTTAAAAATCCTCAAGGAATCAACTTTTTTCTTTTCTAATTTTCTCCCTGGGTGATACTACTTCTCATGACCTATAGGGAAGATAACCAAAAAGGATCTTTAATGAACTTACTTTGATTCTTTCTTTTTAAAGATTTATTTATTTGAGAGAGAGAGTGCGAGTGGAGGGAGAGGCAGAAGGAGAGGGAGACAAGCAGACCCCCCACTAAATGGGGAGCCTGATACAGGACTTGTGCCCAGGACCTTGAGATCATGACCTGAGCCAAAATCAGGAGCCAGGTGTTCAACCAACGGAGCCACCACACACCCCTTTAATGAACTTTTCTATTCAGTCTGCCTTTCCTTATAAATTTAGCTCCTACTAATATTGATTTAATGATATGATTAATCCAGATTAAAAGTCAAAGTAATTTTTGAGAAATTTCAAACACACTGATGGAACTTATTCCTCTTTCCTTGTGGTGATACCCCACCCTCACAAACTGAAATTTTTACCAGTGATAAGAGATATTAAAATGTGGTATTTTAATATTAGATATTTTATTTTTTATTTTTTTTAAGGATTTTATTTTTAAGTGATCTCTACACCCAATGTGGGGCTTTAACTTACAACCCCGAGATCAAGAGTTGCATGCTCTACCAACTGAGCCAGCCAGGCACCCCTTAATAGGATATTTTAAAAGAACTACTATTTTGGTTCCTTTTTCAAAGTATATGACTTTTGATGAACTGGAAGAAATGTTTCAACCTAATCCCACACTCTAGAATTTTATCAAGTCTTAATTATCATAACACAGTACTACATTTAGCACAAATAATCCAACATTCTAACAATGGTGGTAGATGTATCAAGTGGCTCGTTTAGTCATCAGGAATGTTGAGAAACAGGCTGTTATTCAATTTAGGCCAACTCTGGGTTTGACATCTATTCATATACTTATGTTTTATGCCTTTTAACTATCTCAGGGATAACATAAAGAGACAATGAAAAGCGAAGGCTACATCATTCACAGGATCTCTGTAAAACAGCACCAACTCCTTTGGGTCCCTAGATCATGCACATGCAACACTGATAAATGAAGTTAAGGTCAATGTGGACAAATGGGCAGAAGGCAGATTTAGATTCTTACTGAGCATGCTCAAATTTCTAATGCACCAAAGAGCAAGAGACTTCCTTAAGGTGGAAGGTAACTGCTTCATACATGTTTTAAGTAAAATATATAACCTATTTTAAAACTATTTGCTACATTTTATTAATTAGTGTAAAGATTCCACAGTAACAATACATTAAAAAATGAAAAACAGGCTACAGTTCCCTCTTTCACAAAGTCAACTCCTATGGGCATCACATGTAAAACAGCAAATAAACAGTTTTCTACTGGAGAGAAGTGTTCTTTTACAGATGGTGGTGGTGATGGTGGTGGTGGTGATTTGGGGGGTAAAAAAATTCTCATTTTGAGATACCTACATTGTAGAAACAAGGATCTACTAGGATACCTGAATTCTAATACATTTCAACTCTGAGAGCTACAGAAGACAATGATTATTTACAATAAATGGTAAAATATAGTGTGGACCAGTACAGCATATTTATAGAGGAAAGAGGCTAGAAGTTCACTAGTTAGACCCAAGTAACTTGACCCACAGATTATAAAAAGTGATAAATACTGGTTTACTCTGTCAAAGAGGTAAGAAATTCTTGTTAACTGACCAACCTGGAATTAGAGATAAATCGGCCAGCTCCACTTTAATCATATTTCTCAAAGATAATGTATTTATGTTTTAAAACTTTCTTAACATATTTTTAAGAAATAAATTATTATATAAATGAAATCAATTTATATTGACTAAAAGGCTCATGTCCATTGGTTGCATTTTTCCTTTCCTAATATTAGAATAAACATGCTCAGTAATGAAAAAATTCCAAGCATTTGCAGACCTTTTGGAGACAGGCCTCTGCCTTGTTAGTAGCCATGCCAAGCTGTTCTTTGATTAGACAGAATGCAGACTCTAGGCCAGCACAAATGGTAACTAAAGATTATACCTGACCTGGCGCTAGGCATATGGGGAGGTGTGCTTTGCAAGGAGGAGCTAATACACCCTGGGATAGTGGAAACACACACTAGAATGAAAAGATGTTCTGCTTGGGGATAGAGAGCCAGGATCCTTCTCCAGCAACTGCCTCACTGACTTCTGCCTCCTCATCTCTGTCCTACCCTCTGTTGTGGCTGCTGCTGAGTTGGGCTCCGGTGAGCCGTGCTCAGGGGTCCTGCGCACCAGCACCTCCCCCTCTTGAACACGTTTGATCCCTAGGTCAGTGGAGCCGTGTTGGATCGGGGAGCCAGGAATACTCGAGTCAGCCTCGTTTGAGAAGTCAAAGCCATCTGGGATTCAACATATAAAATTTTAGTGCTTTTGTGCTGCTCTATTCTTTTCTGAGCATTTTGACCCAGGCAGATAAGAGAATGTATATATGGATATGATAAAAACACAAAGACTATTTATATAGTTACATGTGTGTGCACAGCATGCACACACATAAGGCGGCAGATGAACAATGTGAGGTTTGCAAATGAATAGCACAGGAAAATAGGGATCATTAAAGTGGCAATTAATAAATCTTAGGCAAGACAGCTTGACTATTCAAGTACCATATGCCTATGAAATACTGCTGGATTCAGCACCTCCAAAAAAAGGAAAAGCAAAGATAAAAATCGAAAATACAATCATCAACTTTTTTATGGATAGCTTGTATTTCACCACTGGTTTGGTCAGTTATATAATTTTTTCCCACAGTGCTCATACATGCACCTTTTTTCCCATCCTATTCTTACCACTAGTTCAAAAAAAGACAAAAATTAACTTGATCTTATTTTTTGCTTTAACATTCATACAGTAGTCTAAATAACATCTTTCTACTTTATAAAAAAATATTTATCAAAATAAATTCAGGCATTTAAACACATGTCTAGTGCTATATTTACAAACGAAATAATTGTAATTATAGAGAGTACAAAATATCATGTGTTAACCTAGTCTATAGAAACAGTGATAAATTTGCTAGAATCCATGAATGGGCTATAGGAATTTTACACTCACCTTCTCTCCTCCATCTATGACGACGGATTGAAGCTGTTGTAATCGCCGTCCGAGAAATCCTCGGCACTGTTGGAGTGACTTCCACTTTAAGTACTTTCTGGCCTTCTTGTGAAGAATCAGGAGCATCAAATGGTAATGAGTTTTTCATGGCACTGGCAACCTAAAATGATAATATAAAGTCTACACATATTTACACCAAATATATAATTTATGCTTATTTTACACTTCACATTTCCATAATTTTTTGAATATGTATATGAAGTGGTACTATAAAACATGAAAGTACACAATGTGTCAAAAAAGTTGTACCTCCACTGTTCTGGTTTTTTTTTTTTTTTATGGGGAGGGCAGAGGGGGAGGGAGAGAGAGAATATTAAGCAGGCTCCATGCCTAGCGTGTGAGCCTGACACAGGGCTCAATCTTACAACCCTGATGCTCTGAGCCAAAATCAAGAACTGGACACCTAACCAACTGAGCCACCCAGGCACCCCTGTTCTGTATTCCTTTAGGCAGGCTTCTGAAACGAGAATTTACTTTTAAAATGTGAGTCGCATAGCCCACAGATTCCTTAAAGTTGTTCACTTTCAAAGAGAAATGGCGTTCCAAAGAAAGAAAAATTGTCTAACATTTGAACCCTGTTAAAGAAAATTTAGAAGTTTCTGATTCTTCAGATGAAAAATAACATGCAAAATTTCATTTCTCATAAGAAAAAAAATTAGCCTTCTTTCCACTCCTTTGTTTTCATAAAGAGAAATTTTCCCTAAACATGTCTGGCATTTTGTCCCACCACTTTCTGTTCCCTCCACAAAAAGAGGAAAATATCTGGCTGAGAGTAATTATCATCAACTGGTGCATGTTTCTTAATTGGGTAGTGCTAATCTAGCAAAGATCCTGAGCTGGAGAACTGTCTTTCTCACTTTTTCTCCACTTGGAAAGGATGAGTAAAATGCAGCAACCTGGATAAGTGTGCCAGCTCTGCCAACTCAAATTTCTCCAGGGGGCTGTACCAACATCTAGACCAAGGGGCGGGGAGGTAAGTCTTTCAATTTAGCTTTTATCAGGAATAAAGATGATGCCTGTTTCTCTACCTGCCAACTGTTTTATCTGTTTACCACCTGGATCTAGATTTTAATAAAGAAAAGGAGTGTTGTTTGTTGGATCCCTCAAAGACCCCGCACAACAAAGGATTGCTCTAGGCTAGAGATTCTCTTTACCTATATTATCTTGGAAATGCCATCTCTACTTAATTTGTAAGACTGTTACAAGAGGAAAAGTATGAATTTAAAGAGTCACAAATACACAGTATTATTATGATGATGTAATTATTTTATCTTGTTATCCATTTGTTTTAATATAACCCTTAGAGTAAAATTAGTCATGCTGACATGAGGGGAAAAAATGGAAATTCAAACAGCAAAGAATTACTGTAAATGCTACCTCAATAAACTTATAGTTAGCTTAAAATATAAAAAATAATACAAAGAAAATGACTTTAAAACTTGTACTCTTGGGGTGCCTGGGTGACACAGTCAGTTGAATGCCCAACTCTTGGTTTTAGCTCAGGTTGCAATTTCGGGGTCATGAGATCGAGCCCTACATTGCACTCTGCACTCAGCACGGAGTCTGCTGAGAATCTATCTCCCTCTCCCTCTGACCCTCCCACTTGTGCTATCTCTTTCTCTCTAAAATAAGTGAATAAATCTTTAAAAAAAAACTGTAAGCTAATATAATTGCAATTAAAATCTACAATATGAACTACGTATCTGTCAAATAAATTTGATTAAAAAATTATACTCTTAAAGTGTTACAAGCAAAAAAACATAAATGTTCTTTTTTTTTTTTTCTTGACAGAGAAAGAGAGATCACAAGTAGGCAGACAGGCAGGCAGAGGGAAAGGGAGAAGCAGGCTCCCTGCTAAGCATGGAGCCCGATGCGGGGCTCGATCCCAGGACCCTGGGATCATGACCTGAGCCGAAGGCAGATCCTCAACCTACTGAGCCACCCAGGCGCCCCCCCAAAAAAAAAATATTCTTAAAATACCATTGTAACACTACAAAAAGCTTAGAAGACATAAAAATTGCAAAGAAAAACCATCCAGTTGAATCACCTAGATAACCATTAGCATTTGTATGTTGCTTCAGTCTTGTCCAGATTAAAAAATAGTTGTACACCGCTTGACCACTTAACATAAGCTAGCATTTTTCTTTAGTATAAATTTTTGAATATATAATTTCATCAAGTCAACATAAACTTAATCATTCTCTGTGAAACATCTTTTGTTTTGATTCCTCTACAATTAGAAATAACACTAATGTTGTGCTTATAATACATTAAAAAAATTCAAAATAGTTTTCTGGGATGTGTTGCTAGACATGGATGGTGGGTTAAAGAAAACAAACACACATTACTGAACTGCTTCTGCAAAAGGATGTTCAGAGTTGTGTTATACTGCTACTGATAATGGAAAGATTTTTTAGAAATACATTTATTTTTTAGAAATATATTTATTTTGTGGAAGAGTATGAAATCTTTTTATATAGAACAAAATATTAATTGGCTTGGGCGCCTGGGTGGCTCAGATGGTTAAGCGTCTGCCTTCGGCTCAGGTCATGATCCCAGGGTCCTGGGATCGAGTCCCACATCAGGCTC